AAATGGTTGAACTATTTGCAAACCGAGACGAGAGATCATTTAAGGAAAATGATAACTCGTACGCATAACTAACGGTATCGTTCCGCACGGCTGCAAAAACGAGAGGGAAACGAAATTCGACCGAGGTATCGCAATATAATGTGGCAACTGTCTTATTCAATTTACTCAACAAAATCACAGGTGCTGAACTTATCGTCATAATGGCCTATTATTTTGTGCCAAAACGTAAATAAATCTTACAATAGTAATTACATTGGACAATTATACTACCTGCGCATTACAAGGTGTTGTTATTTTTTTCAAACGGTAATGCGAACAGAATAACAATTGACAAATTTTGTTTGTTATCAAGATGAATTGTTAAAATAAATACACAATATTGAGAAGTCATAATACTTTAAATAACCGCATTTTTTTTATTATTTTGTTGAAAGAAAAGACTGAAATGCAGGATGCTTCAGTAACAGTCAATCAATATCATAAACTACTTCTGCATTAAATAGCAAACTATCAAAAAGTTTTCTCAATTCGCTGAAGGTCAAACCATTTAATTTCGGCTTATTTTAAATCAGTGTAAATTATTTGTAGCAACTAAAAGTATATAAGAGTAACTGCGTGCTTTTCGAGTCCAATTCAAATAAAAAATCTTACATTTCTCCGTTTTGTCAATCGAATAGAGAAAACGCAGTAGATATATACTTAAAATTTTTTATTTGGAAGAACTGCAACGGTTTGACAAAACAGAAATCAGATATCCTCCTTGAAATTAGTGTTTGAATTCAGTTTGCATTATTTATATTAAGTTTATAAGAACGGCATGGATTCATGGTGACGAAGATGAAGAAAAGGCGAAGAAAAGAATTCCAGTTGTTAAAAGTAGGAGCGACATATGTAATAGGCTGTATGGTGTAAAATGCGTGTTACTATATTTCCGATCTTTAAGAGCCAATTTGTAATTTCAGATTTGATCTATTACATTTAGCGAGATGCTATATGACTCATCCGGACAGGTCTGCGTAGGAATTTTAAAACATTTTAGACAAAAGAAAGATCGCAGAGATATATATAATAGTGCACAGTTGATACATCGCTCGACAAAAAGTTCTTTGAAATAAATGTTGGTGTTACTCCGGGGCAATCAAAACAACCTTTAGCTCTTAAAATAATAACCTGTTTCAATAGCGCAATTGTCTACGATCGTCGTTAGCCTATTGTGAACAAGCCTGATGACACGAAACTCCACTAAGCAACACAATACACAAATCAACAGCTTGTAGCGATCCTTTTAATGCTGGCTTTTATAGCTGAATAAATTGAGGCACGCGCTAGAGGTGAAACAACTTGTTTTCCTGTTGTTAAGAGCTTCTCTAGGTCTAAGAATGTTTGTTTCTGAAAACACAATCGGCTACGCAGGTCGATTCATGATCTATGCTTGGCAAGGAGAACGGACTGTCGACCCGTTAATGGACTAAAATTCCCGACACCAGAAGGAAGCAACGATATTTTGGCGCCAGTCAATTGTCAGAACAATTAAATTGAATATGTTTATGTAAAAAATATCTAATTAATTGATTATTGTCTTGCGATGTTGTGGGATGAAGATGTTATTATGGAATTCTTTTGTTATCTTCTTTTCGTTTAAAACCAATTAGGACACTTTGATCTCCCTAAAACCCATAAGTTGGAATTGCCGTTCAGCATAAAAAACACATTACATAAATTGTCCATGAAGGGTCTCGCGGAAGACAAAGAGAACCCGAATGAAAAGAGGCAGGTGGACTAACATACCACAGTGAGCAAACACAGGAATATCATTTAAGTGTCATGGATTTTCAACTACTACGCAGTTTTAAATTCATTATCAGGTAAAATTACCAATCTAATTTGATCGTCACATGAAATCACCGATTTTTCTAATTCGATATTAACGCATTAGGCTTAATTTGCTCTTGTCTCAATTTTCGATTACACTTGCACTGTGTGTATATTCCGAGCAGCAGCAGTTCCGAGCGTGTTTTTTCGATCCATTTTTAGTCGCGGTGTTTGTAGATCATGGAACCTACTCATCACAATCCCATTCAAGAATAGAGAAATGATTTCTACATTTCTCCTCGAGGAATGGAAAACTGATGAGACTGGTCCGTATGGTGAGCTATCGTTTCTTGTCTGGTTAAGAATGGAAGCCATGTCTAAATAGGTTCCATTACATTTGAACCCACGTACATTTGAACCCATGACAATTGCACCTGTATGCTATTGCACCTATGGAATTTTTTTTGTTTCACGGATAGTTAAACCCATACTAACCCCAACCCATGGGTTTTAGCACCCGCATATATATTGAACCCGTGGATATACGCATGGGTTCAAATGTACATGGGTTCAAATGTACGGTCACCGTCTAAATATATTCAAACGTATAAACTTAGTTGGTGGAGTATGGTGGCCCATCGTTGTCACGCGTAAAACCCAGGGAACACCGTTTGTGCGCGTAGGATTATGCATGACAACGTTGGTCCCAAGCAGAAGCAAATTTTCTCAAAATATAAACGCGTGACAACGATGGGCCACGAGGCGGCCCATCGTTGTCAATCTTTTTATTTTCTTTTTATTCACGTTTTTTTTTTCAATTCTTTTTTTTTATTCCGTTTTTATTTTATTTTCGTATTATATTTTTTATCATACATAGACATCGTTGGCTCTTATATTCGCCCGGGTTTTTCCTTGAAAACAAATGTAAAATGCTCATATTACTTTATTTCCACTTCCACGGGAATAGAAGGAGATATTTTGTAATATCATTACCCTTATCAATCACTGAATTATTATTATATCGCGCTCCCATAATCATGCGTACACTTCCGTTCTTTCACTCAACATCTTTCTCGTATTATGATCTTAGTTCGTAAAGTCCTACCGCATCACACAACTCACATATACGAATATTCCTGTGCTCCATAGTGCCCTCTATCCAATTGAAATTATTTTCTGCGCAAGAATGGTGTTCAGCGAGACAATGGATGTTTTCCACAGTTACTTCCATAACATTGGCCAACTAGCAAGTGGTAAGCGGTAACGTAACAAGTAAAATCCGAACAGCTGTTCATGAATTTTCACTGAAACAAATTGTTGTTTTCAAAGAAAAACCCGGGTGAATATAAGTGTCAACGATGTCTATGTTAGTATGATAAAATTGCAAAGTGATTCACATAACGCTTTCATGTTACGACTCTCTCCACCAACTAAGTTTATGCGTTTGACTATATTTAGTTATGGTTTCTATAACTTGTTGGGACTGATTAACCAGACAAAAAAACGATGGCTCACCATACGGGCCAGTCTCATCAGTTTTCCACTTCTCGAGGAGAATTGTAGAAATCATTTCTCTATTCTTAAATGGGATTGTGATGAGTAGGTACCATGATCTACAAACAACGCGACTAAAATAATGGATCGCAAAAATATTTAACGTGTGTAAATCAACATGGACTGCTTGGAAATATACACTTACACTGTAAGTGTAATCGAGACAAGAGCAAACCATAATATCCATAATACTTAAATGATATTCCTGTTTTTGCTCACTGTGTTATTCCATCTGCTTCTCTTCATTTGGGTTCTCTTTGTCCTCCGTGAGACCCTTCGTGGACAATATATCCAATGTGTTTTTTATGCTGAATTCCAACTTATAGGTTTTAGCTAGATCAAAGGGTTTCAATTGTTTTTAAACAAAAAGCTCGTTTTCGTTGCTTTGCTAGCAATTTTGTCAGTTTTCAGTCGTGTCTACGAAATTCAGGTATAAATCAAATAACTGAATTGTCATTTCGATTTCTAAGGATAGGTGAAGAAATGAAAAAAAGAGCATCGAGAATCTGCAATAGACAAGGCTTGAGCGGTGGAGTCGGGAAAAATTTACAATCGTTTTCAAGGTTAAAAAAATAGTTCAGAGTCTGGGTCATCTAAAAAGAGCTTTCTGTATTTTCCAATGGAAAGTGGTTAAAATTTTTAAATAAAAATGACACTCATTCATAATTACACAAATTTGATATATTTTTGTGCATTTTTTTAATGTTTGCCTTTCAATTATGATAACATGGTGTTGAATTGGAAAACGCTTTCTCGCTGAAAAAATTATACGAACACAGCTGCCGTCAGCACCACCGTGGCGCATGGCAGCCACTGGCGCCGTTTCGACAGGGGCGCAAAAGTAAGTGTTAATCGTAAAATGTTTTAATTAATCAATTTCAAGTTGGAAATAATTGAAATTCGTATTTTTATCTAAATAATAACGTACAGGTATCTCAATTCAACAACAGTCGTTAAAAATTGTATGTTACCGATTAACTAAAGTCCCTGTGGTCCATACTAAATGATTTTATTGCTGTTCCTATTTTATTAATGACCGATTTTTTGTTTACAATATAACAAATTTCTCTTCCTCTATCGCATAGCACAAGATTTGCCGACATGCAGTAAGCGGACCGCTTATAGCAAAAATCTCAAACGCGTAACCTCCACAAGATGCACAATTTTTTTATTTCATAAACGTCATCAAACACCAAATAACGAATTCCATAGAACCTACAGAAATAAATAAAAGTGATAGCTTTCCAGCGACAACATCAATCTTTAAAAACTGAAGAATATATATAGATGCTCCTGGACAGACTTCGATGATATTCTCAATAAGCAATAATTTGAAAAAAATATTGTTGTAAGTAATGTGGTGCATTTTTCTCTGTGATAATATTTGAAAACTAAATTTGCCTGAATTTTAGAATAAATGAAGCTATGTTGATTCATTAGAGATTAGACTGTTGATCATTGGATTTTGTAGCAAATCTAAAATGCAATTTAGGTGGAATACTACCTGTATAACAATGCGCTGATTTAAAAGTACGACCCTCAGCCAACTTCTGTGGCCACAGCCGGGCCAGCAAGCCAGAACAATCTCACCCCGGCCTTGGAAATATATTGATATCAATCATCACACCAGCTTATTAATGTAAAAGCACTCTCAATTTATTTCAATATTTGATGTTAATATTCAGGTTCATATATATCCTTCCCAACATGTAATCAAGGTTTATTGGATTCAGTCATATGCATAGAAAAACGAACGAATACATATAACATCATACTAGATAATTCTTGGATACATTCAATCCAGCGGTACTTACAGATTAGCCTAATACACAATTACAATGGCAAAGCGTTTCTCCATGAGATCATGGTAAATTAATGTTGCAAGCGTCTCTTTACAACTGGGAATGTAATACTAGTAGTTTCAAAAGAAAGTTAGTTTTATAAAAGTATCTTGAAGCATTGATTCGACAAGTTTTATATACATAGCTAAAGTTTTTACTCAAACTTAAAGAATACAAAATATATCCATATTCTCGAAAACCTGTCAATTTTCAATAAAAGACGAATTCAAGGCACATATTCTTTCTAATTATTGAAGCTTCCAACTAAATAGTCTAGTATATTTTACAAGGGCACAGTGTATGCACAAATTTCGATGGGTGGGTTGAAAGTTGAAGGATTATTCAAACACTTCGACTCGCGGTACCTATCATATTAAGTTTAGACAGTCATTGTGTGAAAACAAAATGTTTCAAAAGAAGACAAGGGATTAATGACTTGGACACAGTCCAATACAGTGTGACTTGAAGCACCAATGTTTGAACTGAAAAAAAATATACTATTCAATTGATCTATTGCCAACTGTCGCCTATTAATTCAGTTCATAATTATGACAAATTCAATAATATCTTTTGTAATGGTAGTCCAATATAAATGTTGCCAAGTTCTTGGAAAAACTTTGGCATGCACATAGAGTATTTCCACACAATCTACAAAAACATATCGAAATAATAAGCTTTTCAATTAGCAAGGCAGAAACGAAAGCATACGATCCACTCAATTTATGGTGTAATAACATGTACACATAACAAAAACAAGTCTGTCTCGATGAAGGTAAAACAAGCTAGTGCCCAATGAAGCTATTGTTTTGATTGAGATATCAGAAATAGGTCTTAAATTGATTCTCAGAATTCAGCAACCCTATTTAAAACAATAACTTTTTAGTTAGATTTCTGAATACTAAATGCCTGTACATTTACTGAGCAACAGGATAATAAAACTTACCAGATAATAGAAATTTCCTATTTAAAAAAGCACGATACACAGATTTTTTTTTACTTTCATTATGATCAAAAAGATAGTTTCATCCTAAATCAAATTTATCACACATTATTGCTTCCAAAGAATTTTTCACAATAAAGTAAAACCAAAAAATTATAATGAATGCAAAATAAAGCCACCTGCTTTGAAATTATTGTTATTCATTTATCAATAAAATGAGGCTGAATTTCATTTTCAAAACATGTTGTCATTAACAGTGGAAAAATGTCAGATTTTCACATTTTTTGGAAGTATATTTGATAACAGATATTCACTAAGATATTTCACTAGATTATGTGTTCATTAAAGATAAGGAACCATAAATAAGTCATTAATGAAATAGTTAATTTTCCAAATAATTTCAGTGGACAAAATTTCTTTTAGTTAAAGAAAAATAAAACTGATTAATCGTGAATAAAATGTTCTCATTCACAACGATTAATGTCAACCGACCAAAAGTAAAAGTCTACAATAGAATTGGCCACACTGGTATCAGATTTCAAATATAATTAAGTTTATGGATATGTTTAATCATACAGTAAAATACATTTAACAAATAATAAAGCACTGCCGCTGTTAAATTTATAAACAAAATAGTAAGATTTCGAATATATAGAAAATATACGGTAATAGTAAGCTAAAATGTATAAGGCACAATTAAATGTGTAGATGGTATACTTTATGTACAAATTGTGCATTCCCAACTATACTCCGAAGCCATTTTTTTGGGTTTGATTGTAAGTAGTTCTAAATTACAGTGGCGTGTTTATAGATCTTTTTTTGACCAACCTTATCAAAAATATCAACCATTAACAATATACCATGAAATTGATAACTAATTGAATTTAAAATTACCAATGAGGGTATTGCAGGATAGATTTTGGTCCATTGTTCTGTCTAATTGTTCAAATCACATATAAAAACCACCAAGAAACACATACACATCGTCAAGAAATTGCTGTGAAAATGTGATATGTGAAAAATGCTTTTCTGTGAAACAACGTTTATATAGACGAGTTCATTAAAGCATCTTAACTGAATCACTAGTATCGATGAGATGAATCCTTGTGAATGTAAAAGTGAAAAAAACAATCATAAAAAATAAATTGATGCAATTATTTTGAAGCAGTATTTTTTTTATAAATGTACATAGTTAATCCTGACTAACAATGCAATAAAAGGTTGAAAAACTATAAAATTTCACAAATAAAAACATGAATGTAAATACCAGACCAAATTTCCAAGATACGATAGTTATTGTTCACACTCGAGCAATGTTTTAGTATTTCCATGTACAATATGCTTCAAAATACATGAAGGATATAAAGAATAAATGGACAGACACTTTTCTAGCTGACATTATAAAATCAAGACCATCTTTGATAGCAGATACAAAAACTATTTGCATACAAGGCTTCTCAAGAGGCCATGAGGCTGCTTTCTGGGGGTCATGAACAAAGGCTTCTTTTTTGTCTCATTTCTATTATTATCAAACACTGTGATTCAAATACTTAATGAAAACCCATATTGAAGCCGTATTTTTCCAATCAAATTATTTGAATTATGAAGTTATTTTGTTCTTGAAGGCACATAAAAGCAAGAAGCATTAAGTTACATGTTACAGCAATCAAAAACATAAAACCTCCAATTTAAAGTAGAGCAATCGATTAATTGCCATGGCCCGAATCTGAGTGAAACTAAAATACTGTATGAATTGTATGACATTTGGATGAAAATTGGAAGAAACTTTTGTATGTAAATATTTCCACTGGCGTATATTAGTGACTGAATATATGTTACATAGCATATATCAAGTAGCAGGATAGCTATACTATTCTCTAGCCGTTTTTAATGATTTCAACAACAAACACAACAGAAGAGAATATATAGAAGAACGCACAAACACAAAGCAGTGACAATCGACGAGTAAAACTGAAATAACAAAACAATTTACAAGTTGTGTAAAATTGCTTTCATAATAATAGCAATAAGGCAAATTATAAATTTATTTCCAATAGTTAGAAAATAATATTCTCAAATTACATGAACAGTCGTGTAAAAAACATATGGAAGTATTTTAAAAACATGGTTTGCATCTTATGAGTCCAAAATATTCACTGTAATTGTGTCTAAAATAAAATATAAACTTTGCTTTATTTTTGTGAAGAGGCCAAAATTTAATTTTGCAATAAATTAAAAAAAATATTGGTAACAAAATATATTCACGAGATATCTCTAACGACTAAACTAGTTGAATTTTTCCAAGGTACGGTGCTAAGTTGTCTATTGAGGTCAAGGCAATGATTGTATTATTTTTGATTTTCGTCAAATGTTGATTTAATATTTGAGAATACGTGCCATAATACGATGAAAAAATGGGAGCACAGGGATTTTGGTATTTGACATGTAAACCTAAAAATTTCGCTTTTCAGTCAATATGATGTCTATATAAACATATAGTGTGTTATTACATTTTCCTGTGGAAATGAATGATGAAATAGACAATTATTTTCAAATGGGTTATTGTTAATTTTGTGGCAATATCAACGCTATATAAACAAAATACTCAAATACAAACGCATTTACACAGAGTACACAGACAATAATTCAATTAGAGCAAAAATTTGAGCGTTATGTCTAACCTGTTTTCAGCAAAACGATTCTTAAATGAAACACATCATGCGACATAGTTACACAAAAAGCATTGTTAAAAAATAAAACAAACTGACATGATGAAAATAAAACTCAAGAATCTTGACTATTAAAAACAGAAAACAGATTTTTGGTTACTTTATGCCACGTGAGAAAGTTACGATCGCTTAAGGAGGAGTCGTAGATGTGTTATCAGATTCCGTAATCCGTATATGTAATTTTCATCTTTACATTTATCTTCAAATATGTGAGTGAAGTCAATCATTCTGTAAAACCAGGGAATGTTGAATTAAAGAGTTGAAATAATTGGTTACGTGAATAGGGCCTAGTTCATGTTTTCAGATATGTAGGGATTAGTAAAAATAAACAAGCCAAAACAAAGAAAAATTTCTACCAACTGCTCATGCTTTTCTGGTATTCGGAAGTAGGGAGAACAGTTTTGGATGAATATTATTTGATTAAACAAAATGTACAATGATGCTTTCTTACAGATATAAAGAGCCAAATATATCACACATTTTTGGTCATGTAAGAATATGTACAAAACAACATTAAAAAATTAAATGTATCGATATGTATGTATGAATTTAAAGTGAGCACACAACTAGTGGCATTTACTACTCAAAAAACCACACTCAGTCAATCTTACGATGCTGTCAAAGTGTAGGCCTATCTATTAAAAATTTCAAAATTAAAACAAAGTGCACCTACTATAATTAGCCATCCATGAACCCAGTTTTACTGTGCCAACCCAGCACCCTTGATTTTACCGACTAAATTAGTTTCATATGAAGTGACAAACATAAAAACTTTGTATTATCATAAACAATGTCAAACAATGTGCACCATCATAATTTACAGTAGAATATATTATTATGCATGGAATTGGAATTGTAGTAAATACATAAATAGAGATAACACCAGACTGCTGACTTACATGAATTACACTTTTTGATATAATATGTTTGTGTTGATTAAACATAAAAGCTATTTGTTATCACAACGCATGGTGTAATATATTCTTAGTTTAGTCCTTCAAATACACAGCGAACACCTCCACGCTAGAATGACTTTCAAAATGGAGGAAAGTGGGTGTGACAGGCTAATAATATTCTGGATAAACAATCATGAATACAAATAGTCGGCCCGAGGTATTGTTTGTCATGTTTGAAATCGACTTGATGGCAAAAGCAGTATTACGATCATCCTGTCCAGATATCAAGATGACTTAGGAAAATATTTGAACCTGAACATACAGACTGTTTATAAAGATTTTATCAAATCACAAAATTTCTTAATTTATGGCATTTAAAAATTTCCCCCTTTTGGAATATAATTATGCATAGAGCACCAAAAAGTTTTTTAAATATGTTTTCCTATGTTATTTGTAAAATTCTCAAGTAGCACTGAGATTAGCTAACCATAAGCGGAATATCTAGAAATGTAAATGAAACAAAATAACGAAAAATGAACATTTGACTTATTTGAAAATAAATCTGCATTTGTCACAGATGTGATAAGTGCTAATCCAGGGAGAAATTCCTCCCAAGGTAGGAAGGGATTTTAATATTTCAGGATCAGAATTTTTACATTGTATTCTGATGTAATAATACTGATATTTTTTACTCAAAAACATATTCATGCACACATTATAAACAATTCAAATCGTACAAATACTGAGTTGGGTCGTGCAAATTTCTACAACCTAGTGATTGATCAAATATTGAACAAAAATGGAAACAGAGTTTTTATGCATAGCGAGGGTGAATAATGATTTTCAAAATAAACAACGGGCAAAATGGGGGAAGGTATTGAAACTGTGCTAATCTAACAAATGGTGATATTTTCTATATAACGGCAAGTTATAATTCTACTAGCAACTGAGTCATTCTACACACACTGAGTCACAGTCTCATAAAATTAGAATATTTTTAAATTTTTTTCAAAGGTAATTATACAACCAGCTACAGAATAGAAACAAAAACAAACAATGTGAAAATTATTATGAACTCACCTGACATCTACAAGGTCAGGTGGAAACCTGTATTTACTGTATTCAGTCATAGCATGTTGTTGCATTTTTCGACTTAAATTGTTTACAAATTCTTGTTGCACCCTGACCTCACTTGACAATTTCTTCTTAGAATCGACTTCACTCGAATATCTACGAATTAAAACTTGGTTATAGTCATTGCCAGAATAGGAATAAAAATACAGTTCATTTTGTTGGGCAAAAGTTGGGCACATTTTACTAGCGATATGGCTGTAAGAAAAAAAGACTCAAGTAATTTAACTTCGGCTCAAATTGAAAATTTGCTGAGTTGAGATAAAATTGTTTTGAACATTTATGTAGCAGGAATGGCCAAAATAGAATATTTCACTATTCCGAATCGATTCTGAAAAAATATTTTCGAATATAAAATACTGAATACTTCCTAAATTGGGGCAAGTTCATGTGGAAAATGACATAAACCACTATATCTTCATGTTGATCTAAAACGACACAAGTATAAAGATCATTGTTTTCTCTGTGTTGTTTGTTATCAGTTGAGATATCGTACGTTTAGATTCGCTCGTCTCTCGGCTCAAAATTTCTAATTTTTCAATAAAAAGATTCTAAATTATTCCTAAATACAAAAATTTTCTTTTTTGAATTATATAAATTTCAAATAATTTCAAAGATTCGTTTCGGACATTCCTGAAATAAATTCTATTTTGTGTACTGTACAAATCCTGTAATGTACAAGCAAAGGTGTTAGACTAAAAAACACGAGTCAAAAAACGACTGGTACTACATGTTTACATATACTACACTGGGATAAATGTAATCTTGATGCACAAAAACATCAAACATATTTACCCAGATTCATTTCCACTAGGTGTTCGGAATGTTTGATTGTTCGAATTATCTCCTCCTGCAGGTACAGATGGTTGAGTTTGTGACGTTTCTTTGTTTGCTATACAAAGTAATTTGAGCTTAGTTTTTCAATGTTACAAAAAGAGCTCCATTATTTCTTCCTCAGAACACTTGAGACAACAGATTTGGGAAACCAGTCAGAATACAAGGTGTGGGCATATATATATATACAAGGTGACCTGAATAAAAAACCAGAACCATTTAAAGCACATTCTAGAAACAACATTACCTTCATTCAGAACGCCCTAGATAAGGGCTGTGCAACCGTTTAATACAGAATGGCCAGATTCAAATACCTGAATAAAACAGCGGGCTGTACCTTTATTTAACATAGACTTTCTACTAGGCACAAAAATTTTGGTTATCGACCTTATGACATGCCTTGTTCGTTCCGCACAAGCTAGCTGTCAGAGTATTGTAACTTCATAAAAAAAGGAAAAGGAATTGGGATTACTCGCACGCACTATACTAAATTGAAAACCTGTTACGCAGGCCCACACAATTCAAAATTGGACAGTCTCCACTGGCCGCAGGATTTTTCCTTGTGGGCCGCATTTGGCCCGCAGGTTGCATACCCCTCCCCAAGATTACTGAAACTCTTTGAGTACAATCATCATAAGACACACTGCCATACTTACTTGCATATGTTTCTTTTGTCTTATCTTCATGTTGAGATTGTTTTTGTTGTTCATTTGTTGACGACGATTCATTGTTTTCATTACTACTTGTTGTCTTCGTATGTTGGCTTGGAAAATCACATGTAGGAGATTCAAGACTCTCTTCAAGAGAATTCTCTCTCAAGTCTTGGGTAAGATTGGCCTGCGGAATGTCAAAATTACAGTCGTTTAATAATACAAATCAGGTGTAAAATTAGGTTAAAATTAGAGAGATGATAGGCCAATAGAAGGGAAGACCAAAACCGAAAAATATAGTATTACAAAATACGAATACATTCTATTATAATGCTTTAAAATAATAAGGCATATCGGATTTATTCTGAATTCAGTCATGTTTAACATAAAACACTGGTATACACAATGAAATTGTTTTGGAAATGCAGAATGGTTCCAAATAAACAAGACGGTATTTCACAGACTATGCGGTGCACTTTGAATTATTTTTTTCTTAAAAGTGCTTTTTTCTCTAGTGCTTCATGCTTTATTGGCTACACTCAGAAGCAATAACGGCCGTGTCTTACAGTCCAGAGCGCCCTATGTATGGACAAAACACCAATCTAAGCAATTTGTTGATGATGCACCTTATAACCAGGTGCGCCCTATGGTCTGTAAAAAATAAGGTAGCAAAAATAAAGTGAAGGCATTTTTGGATATGATGTGAAAATTTAACAGCTCAGCAAAATAAAATATTTTTATGAAACTATTCTAGGTTATTCCGGAAATAAATAAAGAACGGTATGTTTGGCTTTGGCATTGGCCGACTAGGCCAGGCGAAGACCATTGTTAGTTCGAGGACGGCATTCAGAGAGGTGGCAAACAGTTGACAGAGACGCATTGTACATACCCGCTGGAAACATACGGGTCAATGGGTCAAGTTGCTGGGAGTAAGCCAATGACAGAGCACCTCAGGATTGCCACTTTCGAACCGAGCTGCCTTTCCTCTCAAACAAACGGCAGCACGTTTTTTATATTTTCGGTATTCCATATTTAGAAGCATCTTTTGGTTATTAGGTTATATATACCTGCAGAACTTTATCTATGGCACGAAAGCACTCATTGACACGAAAATTGTTAGGAACATACGATCTATATTTATGCATGAACTCTTCATCAGAATCAGATGATCCATCGAAAAATTCTCCTTCGTATATGAGAAGTATTGACGATGAGTAAAACTGAAGTCTGAAAGTTGCAAAAAAAATGCTTGCATTAAAAGGTTTGCTGTACTATAGTCGCCAAACTGGGGTCCGCGGACCCTTGGAGGCCGTGATGACTGCATAGGATGTCCGCAACGATATGAAACGAGTCTCGAATATACACAAATAGATCATAATCTCATTGAATTGCCGTTAGCCTGCCAGTATTTAACGTAAGTACCGTATGTATCGATTCAGACTTTTATGAGTTTTATTTAGTTGAAGGAAACATTATTCTTTCTCGTTGGTTAGGCACATAAATTGATACGGCATGGGATGGGGATCCGTCAAAAAATAAGATTCACAACCAGTGGTCCGCCGCCCAAAATGTTTGGGAAACCTTGCTATTTATAGCCTACTGAAGGTAAAAATTTAATTCACACATAGTAGATACACAAGCAATATAGTCACGATATAAGGAATAACAAGATATTTAATTATAATTTAATTTTAAGCCGTAAGCTAGGGTGTTAGTTAAATATGATCATGTGTTAGACTTATGGTTCACACCGTCAGTAATAAGTTGCGGCCTCTTTAGCCATCCAAATACATGTATCTGGAAGACTAAATTAGTTAGCTATTTCCATATCCAACCTGAACCGATAACACAAAAAACGAAATGTTTCGTTATGATTACATCGTCTTCTCAGTATTCCTATCCTAAAAATAAATGTGGAAATCCTATCCAGCTTATGAAGTCGCATTACATTTTTTAAATCAGTAAATTCTATACAAAAATGAAGTGTCAACTCACTGGCTTTGTGATTCGAACCAAATTAAGATAGTTTCCAGTCTTTGCAAGAAAGCTTTTATTAAATGTTTACGCCAGGCTTTGTTTCCAGTGAAGAAAACCTCCAGACCTGTGAGAAAAAAAAATTAGCATTACTCAATCTGGGCTCTTCACCCCAGTAGTAGGCCCAGTACGATTCTCTGGGTCATGGGCAGTAAAAGCTTTCACTAGTAGTAGGTACAATTCGTAATGACTGCATTTATTTCAATCAAATCGGCCACAATTTGGTTAACTCTTTGACTGTAATGTCTTTGTTCTCGTTGGCAATGCGACAAATAAAATAATTTATATGAACTTGTTTGAAGCAAATCTAGTTACATTTATTGAAGAGAAGGGAGCCACAAGTGTGAACCACTGATAATATACATTATTTGATACTCCCGTAGTATGTGTACTAGTTTAGGGTTAGCCCAAAATTGTATTCCGATTTTCCGTAATTTAGTTATATTACGAGTTCGGGGACTGTTGTGTTAGCCAAGTGAATATATCCCATGCCCATAGGCTTCCGTCCCTTTACACACACAACTCGATGTAAAGTAGGCGAACAAGATTAGTTACCTCCATATAAGTACACATACTTCTGGAGCGCCCATTATTTTAACCTGTCTTTTAGTGAATGCATGCTAAGCAAAACCATCCTTCAGAAAAAAATACACTTGGATAAATAACACCTGCGTTTACAGTAATCAAATAAAAGCTTTCGTATAAAAGGATTGAGGTTCACACAAAGAGCTTAATTGAATAAGACATCTTTAAAAATCATGGAACAATTTTACTGTGGTTGAAAGCAAACCCGTCCCCATTATTCATATAGACTATGGAACTAATTCTCAATTCATCTCAATTGTAGATGTCTGTAAATAGAATAGTGCCTTTCTCTGTAGCAGATTGGATTGGTACTTGAATATACTTTTTCTGCTTTAATGTGTAAAAGACCTGATCATAGCATAGAATATCAAGGCAAAACCTATTGGCAGCATAATATGTGTAGAAAAATGATAGCTGAATAAAATGGTTTAAATGAGACTTATTTGTCTTCCCAAGTAATTTTATTCACATTGGTTATTGAAATTGTTGTTCTAATTTAAAATGTATAATTTGTTATCCAAATTTCCCAAATTAAACATTTTATGCATGGGTATATTGTACGAAAAAGTGATCCCTATAGAATATTCATGAATGAAGTGATTTTTTCAACTTATTTAAACATCTTATTGAGGGCACACTGCAAAATATATAGTATTAAAACATGTTTTTCATATAGCGTGTGAGGTGTGACATCCATCAGGTTGCCACCACTGTTTCTTATAATGTTCAATAAAATTTAATAACAGGCTCTAGCACAGGAAGTCTGAATGACTAACTATATTACCGGTGTGTATTACTAAGTCTAAGCCCATCGGAGTGATTATAAATAAGCAATCAATATATAACGTCATTTTGAAATGACTAAACACATATTTTACCCTATTCACACTTGGGGAATGATAAAATCTTATTTGAAAAAAAATTTGACCAATGAATGAAAATGTGAGTTACAGGGGGTAATGTAAATTAAAGCATTTTTTAATACTATTTCAAACTACCTTCACATATGCAAATATCTAGTGTAGTGTGTAGTATTACTCAACCCTTTTATGAAGTCAGCAGACCAATACCAACCACAAAAAAATATCAATATAATGAGCTGAATACAAGAATTGGCATGGTTGAGATCTACTATTTGGCATAATCTTTTTTAATATGAGACATAAATTAAATAAATAATAAATTTTACATCAGCATATTATATTTTATATCATTAAACAGAGAACAAAATCTTAAAATATACAGGTAAATTCTATAATAAAAGACAAAAATAATTTTACAATTTTTATGACCAAAGCATAAGGTTTGAAACATGTTATGTGATAATGTAAAAAATGTTAGGGAGCTTTCGTTATTTCTTTTTTCACAATTTGCAACTAAAATCTGTTAATAGCAAGGTCCAATATGAACTTGCGAAAATACAATAAACACAATACATATGGATACATTTGTTTTCACTATTGCAAAGCCAAAGAGGAAAGATGGGTAGTTAGTCTCTCACATACCGTCCATGATGGTTTCCTCAGTTAATGATCTCCCCCATTTTTTGTCCAAAAAGATTGCTTCATTAGGTGATTGACCAGAGACCTTTTACGAAAAATATACATAAATATCAATAAATAAATATGAAATTCTACAAAATAACTGAACAAAAATGTATGATTAAAAATCATGAAATGAGTCATATATGCACATAACACCACAAGAAATCATTAATAATACTAGTACTACTTTGACAAAAATTGCACAACTAAATTTATTCTGCGAAGTGTCCATTAAAAATTATGGCAGAATTAAAAGCGTAATGATCCAGTGGTCGGAGCATTATTAGACTTATCAACTATGATGACATTGTTATCTTGAATTCAAATCCCATGCCCACCACCTCAATCAGGGTGTAATAAATTGGGCGGCCATTGATGAACCGGAAAAATTCTACTGTTTGCAACTGAAAGCTTTTATAGTCCTTCCAAACTATAATAGCTCTATATTAAGCGGTGGTAACTTGTGCAGTTTTGTTCGAAGTAAAAAGCGTAATATTGGGTGGAGACAAATCTCTACAGAGGTTAAAATCAGATTTACCATAGATTCCCTTGAACCAGTAATAGAATATTCAGAATAGTATTTGCAAAATCAGTAAATAAAAAAATCAAAAAAATCTGTACAAAACTAATTAAAAAGCACTCAAGTTTCCATGAAAGCTCTTGTCTTTTTTCAAGGTGCTTGGTTGATATTGAAAAATGACAAGTGTGCTTCAATCAGGAATAAACCAGTCAACCGACCAAACGTACAAACAACAAAAATATTTACGATCCTTAAACTGTTTAACCTCTGTGGGTTCAGCATTCTGCAAACGTAATACCATCCATCAAAACATGTTTAATGTAAAGGTGAAGTCAACAAATATTGACATTGTTGTATGTCAGAATCAGAATCCTTGTATATTTATAACTTGGCAACTTGCAAATAAGAAGATTTAACTTTAAATAATAAATAAGTTAGAGATTGAAGTAATTTATCATGTATAGAAAGATTTTCCAATAAAGGTTTCCAACGTTGGAAGCAACAATGATTTACTTATATATATATGTAAAAGTTAGTTAATCAAAGTAATTTTTTGATTTAAAAAACTTTTTTAATTTGAAATCACAGTTTGTGACTGACAAACCTTTCTAAACTTTTTTGCAATTCTTAGTGTAACTTGTGTATTGAGTATTTCAACTTTTCCCTCATGATACTCTCTTCATATATTTTAATTAAAATTGTAATATATGATTAATATGCTATGAAATTCTGACCAAAAACTTTTTAATAAGCTGATACTAATTAATGTGAACAAACTATTTGGGTGTATTCCAAGAATTTCTAGAATCCCACAGTTTCAAATTTCAGTAATGTGTTTATTTACATATAAAACTGACCAATAATCATGCCTAAAATCTCCTTTTTTGACAATTTGGTGGGCCTGGTATACAAAGTACAATTTTATCAGCCGATTTCAAATCCAAAGCAAGTTAACCGTGCTACTTGAACTTGACAATTGAGTATTCACGATGATAAAAATTTCATGAACCTTGGATATAGCATAAGGTATGTTTTCACATAAGATAAGTTTTGAAATTTATTTATTTTTTACCACTGCATAGATGAACATTGCTACTGTTGAATGCTAAACCATTGACTGATAAGTCGTTGTGCAGTTTCAATTTGGTAATGGACAAATTGGAAATTCTGTAAGATTCTGATACATTATTTATCAAGCAATTTTATGAGTTTACCCTAGTTACTAATATTGAGAAAAGTTGAGTCCTACAAAAACAAGCTTCACAATTCAATGGTTGTTCTATCAACATGCGTAAAATGACAAATAATGTGTGGGTGGGAATGGAATGCAACAATGAGACTATTTACTGGTCTAATTTTTTCCAGTACAGTAATTTGGCTCATTTTAATCTGATACCGTGCAAAGGGAAAGGATAGTGTACAAATTTGAATAAAAAAAATCCTGTATCTGTTATATATAGAGTAAAGAATAGGTGTTATTGCATATTTATCTTTGAACAAATACATTAATAACAATTTAATTTATGTGATTTGACCTATTAAATCGAAAATATCCCTGATTTAACTACCATTATATTTATTCACATTTCCATTCTCGCTTGCTTGAGTGAGTGAGTGTGACCTTGTTTTCAGCAATTTTCTTTTAAATGAACGAATTCGATCCAAAGAGAAGAAAGTGGCATAAAACAATCTGTGTATTGTGTACCCATCAAAATATTACAGGAACTTCAAGTTCAATAAAGTTTTACATAATATATTCCTGTCATAAACAAAGTTGAGATAGAAGATTGGTGGGCATTCGAACTAACTGGTGTGAACCTTCAGATAACACGAACACAGACTTACATATTACATCATATCTTGGAATTTATATGCTTCATTCCCTTTGGGCTAGCTGTGGTTAACTGACAGACGTTACTAATATTACAAATTTATTATTAAATCATGTACAACAGTTGCCACTTGTTATTTCTAATGCCCATAATTTTATTACTCATGCAAATTTAGGATGTGATGAATGTAACATTGAAACAAGTCCAAGATTGGAAGCTGCTACTTCTGGCATCTACATAAGCTTTTAATAAGGATATTTTATCATGCTAGATCTAAAATTTACCACTTAATTTAAATTTTGATTATTCAATAAGTAGTGAGTACTTTAAATTAACTTTTAAATTAAAAGCAGCATTTTTGATTTTTTTTTAAAATGAATCTTTTCATTTTGAACCAATTCTTAGACAATTCTGGACATATCCAAAAAATTGGGGAATCTTAGATCATTCAAATATGTTATAATATTAATAATGATAATATGTCTGAAAGCCATATACATTTAAAGTTGATTATTTTCGATTAATTAATGAATACCAGTTTTGTAATAATCAGAGATAACTTTCGCCAAAATTGGCAGACAAAAAAGTCTGGAATAAGTATTAGAATCTTGATGTAATAAAAAGCAAATAAAGTCATTTAGCAAATAATAAAGACAACAATACTGTTGAAATAAATTAGTTTCCAAAATGTCTGATAATAAGGCAGTCACGTTTTAAACACTAAAGACACAAAGCCTTCTTCAGTTGTGGTTCCTAATAACAAATCTGAGCTTTTAATCTCATAATGAAAGTGCATTAAAACTTCATTATATTGTTCTCGTAAACAAAGCAACCATCAGCGTTATTATTACCACTGTCAAGTATGAAATTAAGATTAGTAACTTCTATTGGATGTTATCCAAAAATGATTTGTACTTGTGAAAACAAACAATGGCAGCTTTGTTTATGACCACAATAAAATAAATATTAAGGCAGGCTTGCTTGATTTCACAGCATTATGATATCATGAATTTGAAACGTGCTCAGTGTCACTACTTGTAAAACACAATGTATACATTTTATCGTAAGGTCAAGAATTTTAAAAAATTTCAAAGAAGATTCAAAACTGATAAAAGAATTGCAGGTTGTATCTAATATGAAACATATGATAATACAGAATAGTATAATATAAGCGAATAACAGTTTCTAATAATTACAGGATTTTGACATGATAAGCTGAATTCCAATTAAAAATCACACTTAAATCAGACATATCATTTATCTTCATATTGTATATCAGCCGATAAATCTTGTTAACTAAGAACTAGTAAAATGTGATTTATATAATAGTATTAATAAAGAAGGATTTAAAAACAATTAAAATTGAATAGAAGTTCCCATCATCATCATCATCATCATTTGTTATCATCCTCAGAAAAACAACATATTTTTTTTTATTCGATTGGAAACGCAACATAAAATAAATCAGTAAAGTAACATTCATACTACAAAGCGAGAATATGAGGCGAGAATATTAGGCGTGCTTATCAAAATATCAACAATCCATCCATCATAATTATATAACAAAAATGCTGTACGATGATGAACTGAGTTTACTGAAAAATCGAAATAATATTTACTTCAATTCAATAGCCTATTTCCACTAATTACAGTAGGATCTCTATTAAAAAAGCAAAGGGAGCAGAAGCATATTGTTTGGTTACTAATCCATGGAATGCATAGATTAATTGGCCAGTTCAATTACATCCTCTGCCCATATTTGGCCCAACACTGATGAATTTCGCCATTGACGGATGGTACTAATTTGGTTTAAATGAAATCTGAAGAATAAAAATATCTTTTCAAACATTCGTACAACCAGAATTAATTTGTCATTCCACAACAATGACCTTGCGAAGTAGAGGAAATCCAGAATATATCATGATTTTGTTTCATACTCAATGCATCGAACGATATGAAATCAAAGTTAATTTCAATGCATAATCCTAGAATACCAAATTGTATAGGAATAAATATCCATATTATAGAATGTGGACAAGCATATCTTAAAAATTTAGCAGCATAATTCCCAAATTTAAAATTTTCAACATAGCGGGTTAAAGAGGAAATTTATCATTTTTTTATTCTACATTCTACCCTATTACATTGAATGATAATTATTTACGCTATTATAGCTCATTATCCAATTATTTCCACTAACAATAATATAGCATGCAAAATTGATAAATTGGAAACTGTTTCTAGTGAAAAAGATCCAGATTCATGCTTTCTATGAAGAACTAACAACCTTCATAATTTTTTATTCGAAATTTTATTCAGGCGTGTGGAATTTTCCTTCTAGTCTGATAATGCAATTGCGATTTGTTTTATCATGAAATGGAAACAAAAAATTAAATACACATCCATGGATGATGGAAACTGAATATTCTAATATTTCAAAAACAACATAGGTGTGTATTCGAAAACTTTCCGAAATTGAACAAGGGCTAGTTTGGTAATATTGTAAAATTTCAATGGCTTGAAATATTAAATTTTCAAATGGATCTATTATGAATTCTCCCCTAAAATCACAAATTTGAAATATCAAGTATTATTAGTCTGGACTGATTCGATTACTCGATTCGTTCTGCACATTGCAGCAACAAGCAGGTTCATAGCTTCTTCCCTGAGGCAAAATATCCAATCAACTTACGTTAGATGAGTCTACAATATTGTTTTTCTCAGCAGACCAAACTATAGCTTGTCGATGTATAATTTATACAGCTTAAAATAATTCTACATAATAACATATGTTAGAGATGGGCTGTTAATAGGCTTCATAAAGTGAGTGAATCAAACGGGCCATTACGTCAAAGGAAATGATAATATTATATATGAACGAACCATACATAAGTTCTAGCAATAAACAACCCTCCAGTCAGTCCAGTGCTTTTATGGAATGTATTCAGACTGTTAAACCCAAATGCTTAATAGGAAATACATGACTGGGTGCAAATGGATAACTTTTTCTGGCTATTACATTTACTTCTACAAAAAAATTGTAAAAAACATATTCAACCTTCAGGGTAAATACATAATTCACATGCCTTCAACTGAAAAAAACTAAAATACCAGATTTAAACAAAATTGTATAAACATGGAAGGACTAAAAATAGAATTTGTGGGTTAAGAATTTTATTGACTATTGTATTATTAACATAATACAATGACATTAGAGGCGACAGGATAAATTTCCATTATCTTGCTCCCACTTTACCTATAGTTGTTTATAGTAAGCCTACCAATCGACCAGTTAACTTCAGTAATTTAAAAAGTAGATAAAGATGATTGAATTTTCAACCCTAAATGTCATATGAAATGGTGTAAGAGATTTTTATATATTTATCAATTCTAGTCTTAATTAATTTTTTTCAGATAAAAAAAATAACATCATTTCTCGATGTTTTTCATATTTTTTTATCATCGTTTTTGACTACAACCTTATTACAGAACAACCATACGATATGTTTATCAAACAATACAGCTGAATGATTTACAACATCCTGACTGACATTTAAATTAAGGTAAACACGAATAAAACATCAATGGAGTCAATTCAAAATGGAATTTTACAAAAACAGTATTAATAAATATATCTACAAAACTGATTGACAAAATACGAAGCACAAGTTACATAAGTTTGTATATTTATGTAATATATAGATAATAAAACCAACAATATAAACAGAAAAAACGCGAATTGACAACAATAAATAAACTGAAATTTATGAAACCTATACCAATTCACTATCAAAAATCTACAAAAAGAGATCCGACATTCAATCTTATTGTGAACTGGCTCCAAACAAGGCTGCAGACAAGTTTTCCTATTATATACAATTACTAGAAAGATCACCGGTGGGCACAGCCTATCAGATTTCATCACACAAGACCCACAATTTTAACCACATGACCAAAAAAACATTACATGACCTGCTAAACACTATAATAGGGCAAGGCAACTCTCATTTTCTATCATTCGCTAAATTAGTTGGTTGTTTCTTATCTTGTAGCTGCCAAATGTCTTTGCAAGTGTAATAGTGCAAGTTTAAAAGCTCTTGTTGTTGTAACCAACTATTATCAGAGTTTAATTCAAATACCCTGTTTAAATGAATAATTTGTAGCAAACCGAATTATAAAAAGTATAGATTTATAATGAAAATCATTACACATCATTGGCACTTATCCAGAGAATTTTTTGGAGGAAATGAAACTGATGCCTGAAGTTGAAATCAAGGCCAGTGGTACTTCCAAATTCATACCAAGTAATCAGATTTCAAAAGCCTTTAAAATCAAACAAATATAGTAACGAAAATATCTCACCCTCATTCCTAACAATTGAAATCCAAGGTTTTGCTGGGGTGGATATTTTCCTGTTTCGAATGCTATTTTCGCTTCATCTGCATGTGGGTCATAAGACACTCTTCCAATTTTGATGTCGAGAATTGAAGGATTGCGAAATCTGCGGCATGCATCTTCTAATTTCATGTATGCAGCTAAAGAAAAATGTACTTATTTCATAAGTTGACCTCATGCTCCATGAACATAAGGAGGATGATCAGGAAAAAGTTATCCGGTAATGAATTTGAGATACCATAAGTTTTGCATATTGTCTATGAATTGATGATAGCTCACAGACAACCATGTAGGTGTTATTGCCGTTATCCTCTGCCTAACTAATGAATTCTTGAAATATCTCTCTCAAGTATCGATAAGCATATCACTTTCTGCAATGCTTGCAGCACACTGTCTTTTGAGATTTCACGGTTTGGCTGCAAAGCCGTCATTTCATGTTGTTGCGTCACAATCACAACATCGCAAGATCAGGGAAAACCTACGCTGGGTTTCAATCAGTAGATACTTAGTTTTTCTTTGTTGAAGAATATTAAAAAAAAACACGAAAACTCGACTACCATCCATGTACCCCTAGAAATCTTCTCGTGAACCCCTGGGGGTTCGCGAACCCCAGGTTGAGAACCCCTGATCTAGACATTCCAGATGTTACTAAGAGAATCTGAGTGTTATATTAAATACATAGGCTAATCATTTTTCATATGATAGAAAAAACCATTAATAATTATTAAAAATAAAAATATTGCAACATATAGTAGGCTATTTAAAAATTTCTATGTTTATCCAAGGAGAGAGAAAGCCAGATAAAAGTGACCACTAATCATAGGACACCATGCCTTGTCACTCTCATCTGATTGACAAACAAGTTCAGGCTTGGGAATAAGTAACCAGTTGATTGTTCTAAATGCATGAATCTGGAGGAAGGTAGTTGTAATTGGCCGGCCTATGACATCAAAGAGTCCAGCGATCCATTCGCAGTTTGCACATAATTATACTCACAAGCTTCCGACTTAAAAACCTAAGCAAAGTAATCATTTCATAAACATCATAAACATTGGCTATTTCAAAATTTTATATTACAATATCAATTTCAATTTTCCAGACACCTTCACATACACAGCAAAGCAGTACAAAACTACAGTGAACTTTATATAACACCAAGTAACTTCACTTACGTGACTCAGATTCATCTTCTACAATAATAGGATGACACAACCCAAGATATTTTGGAAGAAATGGCCGCAGTGTCATCAAAACTGGATCTTCACATTTTGGGTTGAATACTTTGGTATAAAAATTAACTTCACATTCTCCTCTTGGCGGAGGTTGCACAGGTTTTAGAATTGACCCATCTGTATGCTGTAACATTCCTAACAGAGATACAGAAATTTGATACTTTATTGATTATCTTTGCATAAAGTTTTATGGGGAAATATCCAGAAAAAGAGATGTAAAATTTAAAGATCAATGGAAGTTCTTGGGTCTTAATTGTAACACAATATCCATGCTTTTTGATATGTACGATGTATTAAATTTTCTGATAAATCTCAGACTATTAAAAATTTACAATATAATTGATTTATGTATAGATCATAGTTAACTGCTTTGTCCCGTCAATCAGTATTTACTTTACTAATGCTATATTAAACACTAATTCTTCATAGTGTTAGTAAAACTTGGCACTTTAGTGGAGGCGAGCAAGTTCACTCAGAGATCATTCCTTTTGTTTCTTAATCAGAGAAAATGACCATGCATAGATCAAATTTACTGTTCTCAGGTTTCAACACATTATAAAAAGATATATTGTCGAAAATAACAAAAACCATTTTTCGGGGTAATAAGCTGGCTCTGCGAATAGGCAGAGACCAAGATTTTCCTCGGCTAAATAAGCGGATCAGAAAAATTGAGTTGCTTTTTTTTCTCTGTTTATCAATTGACCCCAATGTGCTTCATTCTTAACGATTCTATTTTTTTTAAATCTGGATGACCAATACCATCTATGAAAGCTGTTCTTTCTACAAAACGATTTTATTACCCAATTTTAAACGTCCTTGTCCAAATCTGTGCCCCGCCACTTGATGAGCAAGAGGCTTACATCCTTTAGGTAGTGGTGGTATAACATCAGATGAATTTACATTTTCTGTGTTTTGTACTAATGCAGAAGCTACTTGATGTTTATGGTGATGGGTCGTTTTTTGCTTAGTTGAGTCTTAAGAAATATAAATGAAATGATTGAGTTTATACAAAATTAGATAAGTTTGAAATTATATCAACATCACATTTGAGAAAAAATGTTGAATTGCTACAAAATCTCTAGAATTTTTCTTCGAACTTGAAATATTTAAAATTATTCAAAGGCAGGCAAAACATATTTTTTCACAGATAAAACACATACATTTAAAACACCATATATTAAAATTATTCAACACGGATTACAGCTCACTCCACCGTCAAGTTCATGCATCTGAAGAAAATAATTTATCAACCATTTTCATAATCAGACGATAAAATGAGTGATAAAACAAATAGATGAAAATATTACAGAATCAAGTCAGCGAACAAAACTTTAGTAAGGTTCAAAACGTAGAGAGAGATTTTAGGTTGAATAGTGTTGTCAAAGAACTGATAGCCTACATGAGTATTATTAAATTAATTCACACACATACGGTCACAGAGACATAATAAACTTAGAAGAAAAAGAGAAACCTTTGATTTATTTATTACTAAAGTATACAATGGAGAAAACTAGACAAAAAAATAAAATAAAAATTTTGCTGCACCGTAATCTGATATTGATATTTTAGGTTTCTTGAAGTACGTGTCCTCAAGTACTTCTACCGGGCGTAGCATAACGATTTTTGCATATAATATTCTGAACCCCCACATGAGTACGTCAACCAAAAATTACATTACTGCGACATCCCAATCGCGCCATGGAGCTTGCTAAATTAAAGCTACGATCATCCGAAATGGCATTTGTGCAGACTGTAATGAACTCACTAACACCAGCAATCTCTTAACTATCGGTATTGTTGAGGCGAAAAACGAGAGAAATAGCTTATGCGATTTCAAATGATTGTCAGCGCGACCATGCTTTTACTTCTGAGGGCCGTATTACTTCACTACGATGTGTATAATGGCTTTTGCTGTCCAAATATATTCAATCTATCACAATGACGAGAATTTAAAATGTCCTTCTATTTTAATTTAATTGTGTTCATGGTAACTCGCGGTTGCGTCGACTTACGACAAAAAAAAAAGCATTACTTCCTTAAAATGGCAGGGCAATCTGCGACTATAATAATGTGAGAATATATAATATTGCCCGATTATATTTTTTGCGATCTTGCGAATTTGTTATCGCCGTTAGAAAAATCCTAACATCTGCTATAAATTTCCAGAAAGTACAACTTGATTTAGTACTTATTAAAAATATATTTAAAGTATATCAGTAAATCAAAAATACATATTCATCGTCTTGCTTTATTATTAATTTAGTTGTGATCATTTTAATCTGCAGTTGTGTTGTCGAAATAAAAGCAATGCTACTCAGAAAATATCATGACAATGCATGGACACAAAAATGCATGGTGAAGTGCTTGATTATATTTTGTTTTGATTCGTATTTTTGTAAATTTTCGACAAATCTGAGCTGTTCGTACAACACTTATGGTGCTCCAGTACTGTACGTACTAAAGTGGAGGCAGTAAAGCAAAGAATCCTAAGGGAAAATGCCCTGGTACGTATACTACGGTAGCACCCGAAATTTTGCGATTTGTAATGTCTAAAAATGCGTCTTTAATCGGTCGCGAACCATCATAAAACAAAATTTAAGGTGTTTTCCATTTTATTTTTAGTATTGCCGCTTTTCAATTTAGAAAATTCGGGTTGCCACCATTGACACTTATCATCAGAAAAAAAAATTTATTCCTCGTTGTTCGAACTTGCGAAACTCCATTTAGATATCTATCGAAGCGTGTGCACCCTTGTGTTTTCGTCGGAAATCCGCAAGTGAATTGTGCGATTCGATCGTTTGATTTGGCGACGCGCAGGTGACCTTCACGTCACCTGTTACCAAATTTTCGAATAGTAAATTTATATTCTAATAGTCGAATTTTCGAATATATGATGAGCCCTACTCAGTAACCAGTAATTATTAACTCGATTAATGTTATGTGAATAAACTTGCTTTTTATGTTTTATGTAAATTCTGACGTAAATCGTAACTTGGCTGATAGTTGAGTTTCGCAAAAACGTTTGCTGCACGAAGTGAATTTCTGGCTCGTTGCGGACTCATTCAAACGCTCTGCGGACTCATTTGAGACCGCGGACTCGGGTTGGGAAACACTGCCTTAGACACAGATGTGGATCCCTAACACATTAACAAGTATAACTGCAGTTTGGGACTGCTGCGTTATAGTATAGTAGTAGGACAACAGACCTGGAATATACAAATAAAACTCTAGTAAAATACACAAGACAAAGAGGTACGGCACAATGACGATATATGTAGCCTATCTACAGATGGGGGTCTCATGTAGTTTCCTACCTAACGTACTTCTAGTGGGCGTAGCGTAACAATTTTCTCATGTGTCAATCCTAACCCCCACCTGACTAGGCCATCCAAAAATTATGTCACTGCGACATCACAATGACGTAATAGAGCTCTTCAAACTATTCTAAACTGTCACCCAAGACGCGCAGACAAGAACTCGAAATCGAACAGCTATTTCTCTCGTTTTCTCCTCGCAACAATCCCGATAGGAGAGATCGCTGCATTAGTCAGTACTTCATCCTCCGCGCCAATGCCATTTCGGGCGAACGTACGTGTAGAGTGGTGTAGCCAGGCTGCGGACGATCTCATTCAAACCGCTATAAAACAAAAACCAATATTTCTAACCCGTTAATTTTTTACCATGGGTGCATTGGCATGCTAAACCTCTAATTAACTTTCTACGACCAGGGGTTAAAGCTATACAATTCACCAAAGTTTGACACTCGGAAGACGTATTTGCGACCGAACGACCAGTGTGCGACCACGGATTTCAAGCCTTGAACATAGTTTCTGCTGCGTCGAGACTAGAGCATACGCAGCCATGCGTGAAAAAATTGGGCTTCTAATTGCATTTCTGACCGTCATATATTTTAAGAACACAGTTATTTCGAACAAAACTCGTCAAATTATAAACAAAGCACCGCATCACGATAATCAAACAGAAAAAAACACTGTGGTCACAAATTGGTCAGCAAAGATTTTATCGCAGTATCGACGTATTGGAAATGTGCACCCCCTCCCTATTCCTCCTCCTTTAAATGTCTGAAAGTACAAACGTGAAACTTTAAAAAAGATGATTAAAAGAAACAAAACTCTACCCACCTGCCAAATTTTACCTTTTTATCTCTTATATTTGTATGGACTTTCAAGCTTTTTTAGAGAGACAATGGGTAGTTGGCGACACTAAAAAATGGTGCGTTTTTTTTCTTCGATCGGGTTTTCAGTCGTAACTTTTTTGTTTGTGGCCGCATTACAGTGTAACTTCGCAGGGCTACGAGGAATTAGTGGAAAATAACGTGTGAGAAATATCTTCTCGGTTCGTTAATTTTTTCTGCATCAATTTAATCGATGAAGTTGATGGCCGCAAATAGGTCGTGGCTGCAAAGTGGCTAAGCCACTCCTTTTGGCAGGCTCTATGACGTGATTGTGATGTCGTAGAGACGTAATTTTTGGATGGCGTAGTCAGGTGAGGGTTAGGATTGACATGTCAAAAAATTGTTATGCTACGCCTACTAGAAGTACGTTAGATACGAAACTACACCAGACCCCTGTTCTGACGTATCACATACAGACATATTTTTTAGCAAAAATTAATTACAAATTTTACCATTTCCAGCGCCAACACTTTGCCCAGCAGCATGCACAGACATTCCACAATCAAACTTTTCTTCCAGTCTTCCGAACTGCTAAACTTGTGCGAGCTTATGTTCTTGTAGACTAGTACAGTAGTAGGGCCTATATCCACTTGATTGCTTTGCTTTAGAACGAATAAATGTGATTTCTTCTTATGTGAATAACCGGTACCGGTAGTCTAACTTGACTAAATATAAGGAACAGGTATGACATAAGTCTATATATACAAGATACCGTGCTGTAGTACTGATGATATGGGTACCACCGGCTGTACCCGTTATGAAAGTAACACCAAAACGAACGAGAGGTTGTCGGTAGGCGCACACTGCTGCACTGGCCTAAAGCTTACCACAACACCAGTTCGCAACATCAGTCGAGAATGTTGAGCTCACTGAAACCAAAGTGACTATAATACAAGTGGAGACAACAAATGCAATGATGCATATCGGACGCCATTTTGGGTCCAACGAATCGCGAAACCGCAAGTGCAGTTTTAAGTATTCTGTGGCATCTGCAGCTGCCGCAAAACCATGGCGGTATTTCCATACCATGTCCGCTACGGCCAAACTCATGGCAACTGACTTTTTAGCTGCCACAAACCAATGTCGAGCTCGTTGAGGTGTATATAACACCTCAATGGTCGAGCTGCCGTTACCGCGGCAGCAAGGTGAAAACCAATGGCAGGTAAAATTTTGCTGCCGTAACCGCGGCAGGTGGGCCGTAAAGACAGGGCTGTCTATTATGGTGACAAATATTTGGTAAGTTGGAACGTTTTTCTTATGGATACAGTTTTGATTGATTTGGGGTTAGGGTTAGGGTTTAAGTAGATATAATTCCACATGATTTTTTTTATTCAAATGTGTAACGATCGCAGGTATAAATCACTTAGTTAGAATCACTTATCACCACACATCGATAGAACTCTGGACCCAAAATGGCGGGTGTGACGTCACACACCCGCTTATAACGTTACCAATGCATATGCTCACTTGTAGTCACTTTGACTGAACCACATAGATATATAAATAGAGTGCGCTTCTCTCTCGTTTCCGCGGGATCCTTTGAACACTCTCTCGTTTTGACGATATGCTTCCGAGTTTTCCTAGTCGCGTAATGCATTTCTTATGAGATTTGACAGAAATCAATTATTTGCGTCAATTTTTCTCGCATATTCTCCTGATCATGACTCGTTTCTCATTATATATCAAACGCTAATATATCCCTGACCAACATACGGTGCTAATTTTGGTAGTTTTATAAAATTGCTCAAGTTGTGGTTAATAATATAGCCAAGGTATCAGTCTAAATCGGTATGTTAGTCGTTGGTCTGTTGGTCTAAATAAATCGAACAAAAACGACCACAGAACATTAGCCAAGATGGCTTATAGGAATCGCTTCCCCGTTCATCTGTATTTGGCCATGTTTTACCGCCTCAAGTATTTTGCGTGGCGATCTCAATATCATTGCGTGGCCTGGTTCCGTAGTACCCGAGCTATGAATAAATAAATAAAACTGAAGGGCGCTCTAGAAGTGTGTGTATCAATATATGGAGGTAACTAATATAGTTCGCCTACTTTACATCAAGGTGTGTGAAGGGACCGAAAGACATATTCACTTGGCTAACACACACAGTACCCGATATATTATTAGAACCAAAATAAGAAAAATAGGAATAAAGGTAAAGCCTGACCCCAACCTGGTACACAGATAACGGGAGCTGCGCTTCGCACGATACCCAAGACTTGGGTGAAAGTTTCCCCGCGGAGGATATTGCATTTTTATGATATCAGGCAAAAAAATCGTTTCCACTTATATCTATTGTGTAATCGCCTGAACAATCAAATTTTTTCAAGAACGAGATCCACATCGGACTCTAAATTCTCAACTCGAATATAATTGTATTTGAATACCCACACAGTGTCGCATATAGATCCATATGCGGCGCACTGGGTACTGAAACAGACGAAATACTGACCAAAACCATATGCAACACGAAGAAACTTTGGAAGCATAAATGCCAAGATGGCGGCGATCAAATGATCCCGCGGCGAGACAACGCAAAACGAGAGAGAAGATCGTTCCATGTATTTCCAGTTCAATGGACTGAACCAACCTTCACAGTATTGTGCTTTGAGGTTTTTGCGCAGAGTCTGCGAGACTAAATTTTAAATGGCCGGATCGGAATCGAAAAGCGAGTTTGTTACTAATTCGCACCTAAACACCCCAAAAAGTGCAGAAAAACAACAACAAATGAGCTGAAAATCAGAAACGTGCATACACTTTTAAGTGTAAAAACGTGAATTTTCACTAGTTATAGAATGTACGGTGGATGAACGGAGCGCTATTCACCCCACTAACAAAGAAATACTTCCGACACATTAGCGATACCATGTAAATTGTAAATATTATCCAACGTGCGATACGGTACAATACGATAGGATTTACATATTTATCCCGAGGAGAGGAAAGTCGATACGACGGCTTAACCATATGGCGAACCACGGCCTCTCGTCCGGTTACCATTCCATGTCGGGTATGGGGTTAGTTAGGTATTGGTTTTCGGAAGCATAGACTTGATGGTAGAGGAAGCCGTAACCGACCAGCGGTTACATGAAGCACCCAAAATAGAGAGATAAGCTGATACATATTTTTATCTCATTCCACCAAAACGTTTTGCTAAAATAACCATATTTTACCAAAAACACTATCATCCTTGAGTAGTCCATACCAAGTAGGCGTAAGAAATCGAACACTAACACTTACTTAAACATGACCAACGACTAACGAACACGACCATTCCATACCACATTTATATTATATATGTGGTACCATCACTCAAGGGTGTTGTATTTATGTCCAAATTCTAAATTTTAGTATTATTTATACATGCAGTTTATTTCGTGTTGTGTTATGTTTCATTTATGGATGTTGTCTTTTCTTACAAATTCCCTTGTACAAACAGTTTTGTATACTCCACCCTTACCCCTGTTACCACACTCACCCACTCTTCTTGCACAACTGGTACATAAGAGACCATATTAAATGTATTCGATTTATTTCTTTTTAAAATTTTTCGAAGGGGGTGCATGGCGCACGTTCGTGTTTTAGGCAAATATGGTCTTGCGCATACATCCCGTCTTCAGTATTGACGATTTATCTACGCTTTTGCTGCTTTTACGAAACAAATAAACATACATACATACCCTACGACGGCGAGAAGTTCAGCAATCCTCTCGCACATAACTTCCTCTGCATGGGACTCGAACCTGCGAACCCAAGCAGAGTAATCAGAGGAGCGGTTGCGAGCGTATTCCGAACGCTTAGCACGATGAGCCATACCGCCGCGCCAACGTAGTAGGCTACTTAGGAGGGTGGTTCACGTAACCGCTGGTCGATTGCGGCAGAAACAATGCATAACGACAAGACATATGTTTTGTAAAATTTATGGTTACGGCTTCCTCCACCCTCAAGTCCATGCTTACAAAAACAGATAACTAACTAATCCCATACTAGGGTTGGGATGTCGGGGCCAGATTTTGAAATCCCGATATCGGGATATCTCGGGATTGAGCCGTATAATCCCGGGGTTTTTCGGAATTAAGTAAAACATTGAAACAACTTGCATGACAATAAAATCACATATTTATTTCATGTTATATTGACGCAGAAATATTAAAGAACCTAGGGCAGTGCCAGTGCTTCCCAACTTTTCTTTATATCGCGGCACATTATTTAGCTCTTTTAATATTTGCGGCACACCTATCACAAAACCAGAACATTTTCTACCCATAAAGAGTGCGATAGTCGAACGCAAACAAATGGTTAAATATTATAACTGTCTTCTTACATTAAGGGCCCGTTCACATATGTTCACACTATTGCGTTGACGCACCTTCAAACCTTGTTTGTTTAACTTAATCGTGCGTTGCTGCGTTAATGTAAACGAGAGCGTCTTCGGAGCACCTCACATTATTGTGAAAGTTACGCGGCCGCACGGGTAATACAATTCAAAATGTTTCTCCCATTGCAATCATTCAATAGCGTTATTGTCGGCACTTGCGAGAGAAATGAAAGTGGCAAATAAGCTGAATTTCATTATTATCATTTTCACGCTTATAGCCTTTAGTTTATAATATTATTACTGGTTGTACGTTGTGTAAAGGCGTAGGGAGCGGCCCAAACCTTAGCTTGATCTCCATCGCACCATCTTTCTCAGATTGCCTGATCTTCACTTCCAACAACAAATGCAAGGTAATCAGAATTTACCAGCACAAAATTGATATTTTATAACTCGATCGTCACAATTCTACAGCATCTTACGGATAAATACTATTACTTTCTGTCTTGACCCTTCCTCTCCTATCTTTTTTAATACAAATTGGATCCATAAGTTGATGTACTATCAAGCACGGCATGAGATCTAATCTGGATTGTCCAATCAAAACAATATGAACAAACAAAACATAGAACTTAAACCACAGTATAGTGAATGTAGGAATCTTTATGCTCGACTGCTCCAAAAAAAAGAAATCAAATTATTATATATGTCGAAATTTGCCTCTCATAAGGGCAGCATTGAGGCAGTGTGGATAACAATTAATGAACTAATCGGTAAAACAAATGCTATGAAATATTTCTCGATATTTCTGAAGCTTTCGAGCCATTGACCATTCTATTCTTCTAAGTAAGCTCTATCAAAATAGAATAAAAGGGATCCCACTCAATTGGATCTGGAGCTACCTGCATGCCAGAAAGCAAGTCGTACAATATGACAATTCATTCTCTACTAATATTTTTGTCATGAAGCACGGGATCTTTACTTGGCCCATTATTCTTCCTAGCTTATATAAACGACATGCCTAGGCGTTTGGACTCATCTGAGTCAATCATGTTTGCTGATGACACAGACTTGATTCTCTGTGGGAAAAATCTGGAAGATCTATACAGAGTTGCGAACCGAGAACTAGCCAACATTCACAGTTGGATGCTGGCTAATAAACTATCTCTTAATGCCAACAAGACTAAATTTGTACTATTCCATCCTAATGATCATAAAAATTTGAATTGCTCAAAATATTTATCAATCAATGGCAAAGAAATTGAAAGAGTGAGTGAAAAAAAAATCTTGGGAGTTATCTTTGATGAAAATCTATCTTGGAAATTACAAATTACCCATGTTATTGGCAAAACAGAAAGAAATTTTGCAATTGCTGCCAAGGTTTCCCAGTGTGTCAATCAATCGGCTTTACTAGCAATGTTTCAATCATTATTACTCAGCCACATCCGATACTGTTGCTCAGTTTGGCTCCATGAAAACAAAAAACTAGTCTCAAAATTGCAAAGTACTTGTAATAA